GTTGCATATGCGGAGGCGGGTGATGAGGAAAAGAAGGGTAATAGAGTGCAGGAGAGATAGGCTGTCCCATGTACTGTTGTTGGTGCTGCGATTGCAGGCCATGGCCATGACCGTGCTGCTGCTGGTGGGAGGGATAGTACGATGTGTTGGCATTGGCGTTTGACTGCTGGTGCTGATGGTGCGATTGTCCTGACTGGCGATAAGATGGTGTGACAACGGAGGGTGTATTACGGGATGGGCGGCCTCTCGGCCCCATAGCGGTCGAATAGATGCCCGATGAATCTATCGTATCATTTGCGGATGTAGGAGGGAGATTGACGCTAGACGTGGCAGTGTCCGACAAATCAATGTTGGGAGTCGAAAATAAGTCTGTCGATGAAGAGGTGGACCCGTCTCGCCGCCGTTGCTGCTGGTCTTCACGATCCCGGTCCATCACAGAGGATGGGAATTGAGGTTCGAAGGTTGTCGTCGAAGGTCCTGGGAGTGATGGAGTGGACACTGAATATTCTACCCTTCTTCCTGTATCGGACTCTATTGCGCGTTCATGTAACTTGAAACCAGTGGGATAGTCGGGCAGGGGGGATTGTATGGGCGTGATTCGGAGATGATTTGAGGTTTGGCTCCGAAAGAGCTCTGGCGACGACTGGTGGTGGTGGTGGTGGATAGTATTGCTATCTACACCGAAGTGGGACGATCGCTCCTGCTGCCTATCACTTTTGTAGTCTGGTAGAGATAAGAACAGCAGAGGATTTGCACCGCTCGAGATTCGCCGTTGCTGGGACTGGCCGGGCTTGTAGCTGGGCGCTGGCGGCACCTGCTGTGAATCGTAGAGGACACCACTATTAGTGGGATTTTGATCCTGGAAGGGAAAAGCGACTTTTGGGGTAGAGATGAGGTCGTAAGCAAGGTTTAAAACGAAGTAAGGAAGTAACAAAAAAGGGGGATGTGAAAAAAAGGAAGGAGAGAGGGGTTAGGAAGGGGAGTAAGGCTGAAGAGTGATTGCGAGGCCAAAAAAATATGCAGCGCAGCGGCCGCCTTGCCCTCGACCAAAACAGGGAAGCATATCATCCACCAAGGGACACCCAGCGTGCAAAAATAAAACGAGATTAAACTAACCAGTATGCAGCATGTTGGTTAACCGTCTCTCTTACGCCGACCTGGTTATGCTTTGGGAGTTGCGGCTGCAATCATGAGACAGATGAATACGGGTCTCGTTCGCCACTTGCAAAGACGTACACAATGTCGCGAAAGTGCAGGTATTGTGGTGAGGTTCAAGTAGTTATCTCTCAAGTTGGTATTTTCAGTACGTAGCTCGATGTAAGCTCCAGAGAGAGGAGTTCGGTATACTTTGATAGATTGTGTGTTGGGACTACTCTTTTAGCTACTGGCACTACGTCATACTTGACCTGCGAGCCCCTTGCCCGCTGTCCCCACTCTGTTGCATTCATTTCCCCCCCTTAGTGGAGACTCGGTACTTTGTTTGTAAAACGCAGCTAAATCTTAGCCAAGGAACCACCTAGAAAATTCGCGGTATTTCGAGTGGAATCGCACACCAGCCGCCATGCGATCTTCTCGGATTATTGGGCGCTCGCATCGACTTCGTTTAGGAATTTCTCCAATTCTCCTGCCAAAATAGCATGTACCACCGAGGTCGGGTGAAGATGGTCAGCCCATATCGACCCTCCACTCTTTTTCACATGATCCGGTGGGAACCCATACTCTTCAGGAGCGTCGAGTAGAGCCGTAAAGACCTTGTGGGAGGAGAAATACAGCGCCGTTATGGGATCTTTACCCGGCTCGGACGTGTCGGAGACGAATTGTCGGATCTTGT